AAATAAATGGAACTAAAGGAGGTGGTCATTGGAACCTCCAATCTATAGGCAGTTGGTTAGAAGCACAAGTGACAAGCTGGGCTTGTGAATGGCCTCTGAAGGGGGTGGGCAGTCTTGTAGGACTGAGTCCTCAACTTGTGAAATCTGTTGCTATCTCTAAGTAGGTAGTGCCAGAATTGAGTAAAATTGTAGGATACCTAATTGGTGTTGGAGATTTGGTGATGTGGAGAAAAACCCACACACTATAATTGGGGGTGTAGAATCATATCCCCCTTTTAATTTCCAAAGTGTTTTGACTAGATTGTATATGTAATGTATTTACTGTAAATGTTTATTCTGAATTTCTGTACTTATCGTGGACCAATAATAAACAATTTAAAAATTGGCAGTGGTCTACAGATCACACCTTAAGCAGCACCATTCTAAACAGTCAGAATAAGTCTTCTAGGAGGGCGTCCTTACTGTGGGTGTTTAATGAGTGTTTGTTCAGGCAAACAGTGGTAAAGTACTGACACCAGAGTTCTAGATTTCATGTCTGAATAGACAAAATGTAGATTCTTGTTGTTCATTAGACAAAGACCATACACCTAAGGTCAAAATACAACTAAGATAGCAAAAAGATCTCAAGAATATATGCCTCACTAAGGATGGGCCAGGGACATTCATATTGCTCTCCCTGACCATTTAAGGCACCTCAATTTATATTTCATGTCAATTATTACAAGTACATCTTAGTTCATTCTTTAATGTGTTCTTTTCAGTCAATACAACAAATTTTCAAAGTGAAAAGGTTGAGCCCCAGTTTAAGAAGGTATCTGGCTAGATGTCCATTAGCTTTTCCCAACAACCAATTAAAATTCCTTAATCTGTCAAAAAAAAAAAAAAAAAAAAAGATTAAGACTTGTAACAACACTGCTTATCTAAGGATGATTAAAAAGGGGGAAAAACCTCAAAAATGTATGAAAAGATTCTATAGCACATAAAAGGAAAACTCAGTGCTCAAGATGCAGAAGAAGGCTACCCTCTTGAACAAGATTTATCAAAGCCAATTTCTGAAGAGAAAAAAAAGCATTAATTTGATCTTTGCAATAAAAAACAAGAAAAGTGAACACTAAAAAAGAGAGATAAAGGATGAAACATAGAGATGAATGAAAAAGGAGGATCTGGCAGTCAGGTAGGTAAGAATCAAAGAAAGGTAGATAAGCGAAGTGGTATTTGTAAGGAAAGTAAATGCAGAAAATAGTGCAGAGATTGCTGTCTCTGCAGCCCCCTCCTCCAGTCAATAGATCTCAATGGGGCCTGATAATTGCATTTCTAATAAATTCCACTGGACTAAGAGATGGCAACATAGAATGGCCACTTGGTGTATGGAAAATGATGTGGGTTTTGCCCTGGCTGGTTTTGCTCAGCAGTTGAGTGTGGACACTTGGACCAAAGAGTCTCAAGTTCAATTCCGTTCAAGGGCACATATCTCAGTTGTGGTTCTGTCTTTGGCCCTGGTCAGGGTCGTGTGAGAGGTGACCAATCAATGTGTCTCTCTCACATCGATATTTTCTCTCTCTCCCCCCCCCCACACACTTCTGTCTGAAGATAAAATGGAAAAACATCCTTGGGTGAAGATTTGAAAAAAAAAAAACTGACATGGGTTTTGAGGTCAGCCAGGATTTGATTCTGGCTCGGCCATTTGCAGGCTTTGTTGATATACTTTAACCCTGCTCAGTTTATTTCCACATTGATAAAATAAAAGTACTGCACACCTCATAAGTGTATTGTGAAGGCTAGATGATATGGTTAAATATCCAACATTGTGTGGGCCTTAATTAAAGTCCTTAATTAATATTGGTCCCCTTTCCTTTGAGTCCTCTAAGGATGCACCACACATTTGCCACCACAGGGTTTACTGTGACATGATTTAGCCATATCACAGGTCAAATAATTTCCTCCAAACCTAACAAACCATGCACATTCTTCTGCTACTGAGAAAATCTTTACTGTTCATCTATAAAATTGGGGATAATAGATAATAGTATCTACTTCACAGAGATGTATCCATGAGGATTAAACTGTATGTTAAGTGCTTAATACAGTAACTGGCATGTGGGGAGATAATTGTGAATGTCACTTTCCTTTCCCCTTTCCTTTAATTGATATTTATACATAGTATCTTCTAGACCAAGTTTAAAGCTCACTTAGCCCAGAATACCTCAAATCAATCTTTCAGACTGCTCTCTTCTGTGTCACATTTAATTTGAAGTCAATTATTTGGCTATTTAAGTACTGGTAAGGATATACTCTATCTAAACTACTGTATTGAATGTTCAAGGAGATAAGTAGAAGACTGTTTTCTCACCTTGAGGAACTTCGTTGAGGTGATAATATACATGAAAAGGTAGGGTAGGATAATTTATACAGAGAGTAAGTGTGGTAAGAGTTTTGGGATTATTGTGGCTGATCTGTTATTATTTTGTACTCAGAAACTAAAGAATTACTAAGGGTTATAAGAGAGTTCTGGTTTTATGGCTGAGAAAATAGGTCCAGAGATCTAAGTGGTCTAGGAGCATAGCTCTGGAGTGGCAGAGGTTTCCTGGTCCTGTGCTGCTGGAAGATGTTTCTAACTATTTTCAAATATATTAATCAGTTTATGTTTGGTCTTTTTAACTGGGCAGTTTTGTGTAGCTAGTTAATTACTGTGTTCTGAAGCCAAAATGTTTAGGTTTGAGTTCTGGCTTTGCCAATCACTATCTGTGTGACTGATCTCTATGCTTCAGTTCCCCCATCTATAAAATGAGTATAATAATAGTACCTTATTTCATAGGGTTGTTGTGAGGATTAAATAATATATGTAAAGCATTAAAAACTGTGCTTTTGTTATTATAATTGCTATTAGTCTACGAGAGACTAATAGCAAAAAGTCTCATCTTTTAATTTTTTTTTATCTTCTTCTTTTATAACCTCTTCCCTCAGATTCTGATTAAAGCATCCAGGTGGGTGCTCATAGACACATATTATCGACCTTAATCCTATTGGATAAAAACAAACTTTTGTATCTCAGAAGTTAGATTTGGGATTTGTATAAATCTGGCCTAGTCTGGTAACAGGAAAGTCTACAAAGTAAACAGAGAGCAACAGATTCTAGGACCCAACAGAGCTTCTTTAAAAAAAGGTAGACAAGATCAATAGATGCAGAGAAAAACAGAGGTCAATGAATCTAATTTTAAATGAGCTTTCTCATCTATTTTAAGATCTATTCCAAATTTTCTTAGACAAAAATCTAGCCTTTTAAGGGAAGTGCAGAGAACATGCCTCCTTAGGCTTGCTTTGAGGGACTGTTTTAGCAGGTCCTGTGTTCTATCCTGGAGTGGCTGCATGAATTTGTGAACTGAGGTGACAACATCGACTCCGTTTGGAAGAAAAGATGCTGTCTCTACATAGGAAGTTTAACTACAATGGTACTACTTGAAACGAGGAGGAGGAAAAGAAGGAGAAGAGGGAGAAGAAAAAGGAGGAAGGAGCAGCAGCAGCAACACCGTTGCCAGCCCAGTCACAGCTCAGTTCAATGTTCGGATTAGAAAAATCAAGCATCATTTTTTTTTTCTTTCCTGAAGCACCCTTCTCTACGCTCCTCAAATGTCTGCTGAAAAAAATCTGGGACGAATTACAAGATAATAGAGCTGCCGCAAAATTAGTGATGAGGAGTGCCGGTGGAGGTGAGAAACCACCTATATTCAGGGGTTAGAAAAATGATGGCTTTTTTGGAGGGCGGGGTGGGGCAGGCTTTTGGTATCATCTACCAGGAAATCCAGGGATGGAGAAGGGTACAGTCCGGCCTTCCAAATCTTCTGCATTTGACAGATGCAAATCACACTGTGCACCCCCACCCTTAGCACTCAGACCACATCAGGGTAAAATAAGCATCAAGAGGGGAGAAAAGGACATAACAGGTCAGCCTAGGGTTTCTGTGTGGGAGGGGGTTAGCATGAGCAAACGTGGGAAGATTAAGGACCACCGTTGGCAGACGAACCCCAAAGTTTGGGGTCGGATATCCTGGTACCCCAGGATCTGTCTTGCACACAACCTTTAGGTTTCTTGATTTGAGTGTCGCCTGTAGATTCTCAGACGGGACACTGTATTCAGCATTCTCACTGCGCATAGCTCAGGGCCGACCGTTAAGCCGGTTCTCAATAACATCTGGGAGCAAAAGCGGCTTTTGAGGTTGGGGACAGAAGGGCACTGGCTTTATTTATATTAGGGTGTGGCCTTTGAACCAACTGCCGGCAAATTTTTTCCGATCAACCAGTCTTCCACCTTCTGCTCAGATGACGTCGGGAAGCCCCGCAGGACGGCTAGGGACTAAGCGGTTAAGCCGCGTCCTTCAAAAGTGTCAGTCTCACTCCGTTTGGAAACCACAAACCCCAGAATCCCTTGTGTAGAGAGGTCAAGCCGCAAATAAAATGGCTCCAGAAGGGTGGGACACGCAGCAGGGTGGAAACCCTAGTCCCTGGCAGTTTCTTTACCGGATGTGTTTAAATAACCGAACCCGCACAAATGCACCACCCCACTAACCACCTCTGAGGCCCAAGAGGCCACCGCTGCCGCCTCGCTGGCTTCTCCAGGGACATCCTGGGAATTGTAGTCCAGCCGCTGGGCTGCGCTGAACTACCTTTCCCATGGTGCCCTGCGGATCGGGCAATATCAACATTCTTTTCCAAAACTCTCTCTGCTCTGAGACCCCGGGATTCTCCGCTCCCCTTCTGTCTCATGACCCCTTCCCCTCTATCGTGACAGCGGCAGCCGCAGTAGGACCCGGGCCAGTCTCCGTGTAGCCGAGCCACCGAGCCGCTGCGACAGGCACTTCCGGCGGCGGTTCACTTCCTGGTTGGGTGGATGGAGCCGGGCGGGAGCGCGCGCGGGGGAGGGGCGGCGGGTCAGTCTCCGCCGGGCGCTCGGGGGATCAGCTGGCCGGCGGGCGGGTGCCCAACGTGGCCCCGGCTCTCGCTGCAGCGCCGCCTCCATTCCCCGACGCAGGCCGCCCGGCAGCCGTGACAATGTCGCGGGGCTGGTAGCTGGGCGCCCGCCGTCGAACCATCTCAAGTGGGTGCCGCCGGGATGCTGCCTCGCGGGGCGGCGGGGAGACCAGGGAGAAGGGGGGCCAGTGCCTGGCTGAGTCGGCGCTGCTTCGGGCGGCCCGAATTCCTCCTTTTTTTTCCCAGCCCCGGGCACAGGGTCTCGGGTTTGGGAGCCGGGGACGCGTTTTTAGCTCCAGGGTTTTTCTCCTTAAGAAAATTCTTGAAACGTTTCCCCAGGATGATGGCTTTTGCTGCCCCTAGGATTCAGCAGTTGAATTTTTAAGTGTGTTACTGATTCATCCTCTCTCTCTTCCTCTGTCATCACAGGTTTAAACTTATAGGAATCGCTCTTCTGAGGAGGAGGGGACCGCCCCGCCACTGACACGCGTATTCCTATAGGCATCCTCCCTCAGCCCCCACCCCCACGGCCGGATTCGGGTGGCTCCTCTCGGAGCTGAAATCCGAGAAGAAATCCTTGGATCTCTTGTTTTCTTAAAAGAAAAAAAATCTAGAAGCTGTCGGTGTTTTGCTTTACTGCTTCCTATTCGCAAGATGAAGAAGTTTTTCGACTCCCGGCGAGAGCAGGGCAGCTCTGGCCTGGGCTCCGGCTCCAGCGGAGGTGGGGGCAGCACCTCGGGCCTGGGCAGTGGCTACATCGGAAGGGTCTTTGGCATTGGGCGACAGCAGGTCACTGTGGACGAGGTGTTGGCGGAAGGTACGGTGGGACTAAGCGCGCCGTAGATATCTTGGGCTGATGCAGCAGGATTCTGGTTTCTAGTTGTTGAATGTATGAATGGATTTTGACCAGTCTCCCTTCCCCATTCCCTTGCCTGGTGAATCATTGCCCTTGAGAAATTTAAAACTGAGATTTGAGAGTGACAGTGTTTATGGGGCTGGGGGAGGTTGCATGACATTGTTCTCCTCAGTGGCCTTTTCATTTATTTTTGAAAAACATTGGCAAACCAAATCTTGTGTGTCTCACTGAAATATGAGGATCAGATGAGAAAACCTGTGTGTGAAAGTGTAAAGCTTCACATCAGATGTAGGGTGGTGGGCTTGTCATCCTACTAAAACTTGAAATAATTGATGTGTTGGTTGAGGAGGGGTTCCTCCTCCTTTTTCTTCTACCTAACTTTCCCACTGCTATGAGCAGGCATTGGAAGGGAGAGAGGATTTTCAGAGAATGGTAATGTTTTTCTAAGAGCTAAGGCTCTTGGTGGATTTGACAAGGTTTCCTGACCCAACTATTAATCAGGTCCCCAGGATGTAGCTAAGATAACAGAAATTACATGAAGTGAATGCGGTTATTTTGAAATCAGTCCGTAGGCCCCTCTTCCTTCTGTTTTAGTGTTGTTGTTTATGTCAAAAGAATTATTGAGAGTGGCATCTGATTTTTGCTTTTCTTCTACTGGAGATGTTATTTACATCTGCTGGGTTTGCTGTGTAAATTCCATATCTATATCTAAATCTTTATCTTTATTTCCCAGGCCTTCTGGAAATCTTTGCATGTCTCTTTGAGTAACCTTAACCTCGACCTTCATAATTATGCCAGACGTATACTTTTTACCGCCCATTGCCTGCCTAGTATGCTTTTATTTTTAATAAAAGCAGCAATTTCCTTGGCATGAAGCTATTCAAACTAATTGGATAGGGCCAACCTGCTGTAGGTTGTGTTATCTGCTGAGAGGGGATGGGGGAAGATGGAGGCCTTTATTACTGCAGCATGGTGGTGGTGGGGGACCTGTTTATTAACTGGGGAAGGGCCTTTTTGCAAGCTAAGCTTGAAGCAAGAGTTCCAACCTGGGCCTGGGAAATGCCTGTCATGGTGAGTGTTGCAGGCGGGTGGGTAGGGAGGAAGAAGCTGTGTTTGGCTCTCAGCTTGTCTAAGCAGTGGATTCAGCTGGGCCCAGTTTTCTGGGGTTATGGCTGAAGCCTTTACTTTTAAAACACTGTTTTAAAAAAGGTCTGACAACATCCTTGTGAAATTGTTGCTCTTTTCCATTTTTAGTGCTGCTCTAGCTGGACTTAATCTGGGGCCTGAGTCACTGTCCCTCTGGATCTTTCTTTGTGGTCTTTGGTGCAGGATGGGAGATGCTTTTGTGCCAGCTGCCAGATCTGCACCCTTGAGTCTGATCTGCCTCTTTCATCCTTGTGCCAAAGCCCTTGACTGCAGTGGGATGGAGGAAAGGAGGAGTATGTGAAAGATAAATTGGGAGAAATGATGGGGTGCAGAGCTCTTTCCTTCTCTCAGAATGGCCTCTGCTGACCCAGGGTCATTTTGTTCACCTCAGATATTGTCTCATTGTAGATGGTGCTACCCTAAGTGGTACCTGTTCTCAGAGTCTGAGTGATGGGAAAGAGAAAAGGCAAAGTTGGTCTTTGTTGTCTAGACTGCCCTCTTCCCCAGAAAATCATGCGTTATATTTTTAAGTAGAACTTAGGGCTTGCAGTTCTGCATTCATTCATTCATTCATTCATTCGGCAAATGCTTAAGGAGTGTCTATGATGTGCCAGGCACTGTACTAGGTTCTGGGGATATGATAACAGAACTAGATGCCGCAGTTTACAAACTACTTTGAGAGATGGAAAATAGCCAGTTATAATGAATGCTATGTGCTTCAAGAAAAACTTAGAGTGGCCCCCACTTTTAGAGAGCCAAGAATTGGCTTTTTTAGGGAGTAACTGACTAAAGAATGAGTAGGAGTTATCCAGGTGTGGTGACATCATGGACAAAGACTCAAAGTAACAAGAGAGTCTCATGTAAAACCAGTTCTGGCAATGTTGCCCTCTTTATATTCTTTGACTAGACTTGAGTTTGAATTTGTGGCTCTCAGATGTATGTGGCTATAAAGGAGCCAGTATACAAAGAATTTGTGTGGCACCTACCAAGTACAAATGCACCACTAGGTTATGAGAGAGATTTAGGGAGATCTAAAGTGTAATGTGTGCCTTTAAGGAGCTGTGAGTGAATTTGGGAATATAAAGCAAACATTCACACATACAATAGCGTGTTTACTAGCATTGTAGAGTCAGGCATATCTAGGTTCAAATTCTGGATTTGTTCTTTTCTAGCCGTGAAACCTTAGATAAGACATTTTAAACCTCTCTCGAATCTCTGTTTTCCTGTGGGCAGTTTTAACACATGGAGCCTGGATCAGGAGCATTAGCATTACCTGGGAGCTTGTAGGAAATGCAAATTCTCAGGCCCACTCCATAAACCATGGGTATAGGGCTTTTACAAGTTCCTGGAGCGATTCTGATGAAAGCTAAATTTTGATAACCACTGCCCTATGGAGTGGTCTTGAAGATTATATGAGGCAATGTATGTAAATTATTTACCTTTTTTTTCCAGGTGTTCAATAAATGGTACCCTCTATTTACCAGTAACATTACATCATATATATAGTTAAGGGGGCGTGGAGGTGGCAATGTGAAGGCTGGTTTGGCCATAGCATTCATTATGAATTTTTTCTCCCCATTGTGGGTGGACAGAGTCAGATGTTCTTTGCAGAGAGGTCTCACCAGCTCTTTAAAGGGTCAGCAGATGTTTTGGGTAGACATACTCCTTCCTGGACCCTCTTCTGTTTGAGGTGTCAGGTGCTGACCTGGCCACCAGTCCCAGGCAGAATTGTCTGAGGTTGATGAAGTTGTGCATCTAGTAGTGTCCAGGGCCATGGTCAGGCAGTTCAGGGAGGTATGGTGTGATGGGCTTCAAGGCCCTTATTATCATCACATCCCACTGATCATCCCTTTTTTCCTAATGTGGGTGGGTACTGGTCTATGCTTTATAGTGAGGAATTGCAGGCACCCCAAGGAGGAGGTTAGGAGGAAGACAGAATGCCTGGGCTGCCTTCTCTCCATCAGCAGCGTCAACCCTGCTTGCCTAGTTGCACTAACTAGTCTAGTGGGGGCTTGTTTGTCTTGGGGAAATGAAAACTCTAAGTCATGAGTTCAGAGGGATTTGGCTGTCTCTAGACTGGGTGCTGAGGAGGATATTTTCTCTCTAGCTTCCTCAGCAAAGATGCCACAGCGAGATGCTAGATCATGTCTGATGTAATGTGCATGTGATGTCAAGGGAAGATTTGGTTTAAGCTTCCAGAATGAGCTCAATAGGAAAATTGGAGCAATGCTTAAAGAAGGACAGAGAATTTGTGCTTTTATCATAGCTCCTTAGCTATATGAGGCCTTATATCTCAGCTTTAAACCATTAATAAATGTCTGTTGACTACCTGCTGTGTCCAAGACAACATTTCAGAACTGCTTCAGTTTTATATAAGATAGACAAGGTGGCCCTTCAGAACAGTTTCTCACCTACACTAAAGGAATCCAGGTCTAGAGCTAAAGAGAACTAGTGAGGAAGTCTCCAAATCAGTAAACTTTGTCACTTTCTTCTACCTACAGCACTAGGTAGCGAGGTTAAAATTTTTTTTTCTTTTTTCTTTATTGATTTCTAGAGAGAGGAAGGGAGAGGGAGAGAGAGATAGAAACATCGATAAGAGAGGACATCAACTGGTTGCCCCCTGCATGCCCCCCAGTGGGGACCAGGCCCACAACCTGTGCATGTGCCCCGATCCAGAATCGAACTGGCGATCCCTGGTGGACGGCTTGACACTCAGCCACTAAGCCACACTGGCCGGCTGCAGGGTAGCGAGGTTTAAAAATGTGTGCGAAACCTCTGGCGGGTTTGGCTCAGCGGGTAGAGCATTGGCCCATAGACCAAAGAGTCTCAGGTTTGATTCCAGTCAAGAGCACATACCCCAGTTGCTGTTTGGTCCCTGGCCCTGGTTGGGGTTGTGTGGGAGGCAACCGATCTCTCTCTTTCTCTCTCTCTCTCTCCCTCTCCCCCCCTTCCTTCTCTCCCTCCTACTCTATTTATCGGAAGATAAATGGAAGAATATCCTTGGGTGAGGATTAAAAAAAACAGTGTGTGAAACCACCTTAAAAAATCAAATATAGCTCTGGCTGGTTTGGTTCAGTGGTTAGAGCGTTGTCCCGTGGACCAGAGATGCCCTGGTTTGGTTCCCACTAAGGGCACCTACCTCGGTTGCAGTTTGTCCCCAGCCCTGGTTGGGGTTGTGTGGGTGGCAGCCACTTGTGTGTCTCTCTCATGTCGATGTTTCTCTCTCTCTCTTCCTCTCTCCCTCCTGCTCTATCTGAAAATAAATGCAAAAAAAAAAATCAAATATAGCCCTGACTGGTTTGGTTCAGTGGTTAGAGCGTCGGCCTGCGGACAGGAGAGTCCTGGGTTTGGTTCCTGCTAAGGGCATGTACCTTGGCTGCAGTTTATCCCAGGCCCTGGTTGGGGTTGTGTGGGTGGCAGCTACTTGATGTGTCTCTCTCACGTCGATGTTTCTCTCTCACGTCGATGTTTCTCTCTCTGTCTTCCTCCCTCTCTCCCTCCCACTCTATCTGAAGATAAATGTAAAAATGTCCTCGGGTGAGGATAAAAAAAATAAATAAAATATACATATATGACATATAATTATAACATGCCGATGGTATCAATATATTGCATGCGTGTATTCATTTAATGTACGTTCATTAGTGCCTTCTTTGTGACAGGCACTATATTAAGGTTCCAGAGTTACATGATGAATGGGACTTGGACCCAGATCTTCAGGAACTCACAGACCAACAGATAATCCTAAGATAAGTGTTCAGCACTTAGCATGGCCCTTGATGTCTGTTAGGTGGTAAAAAGACGATAAGAGATGA